GAGAGAGAGAGGGAGAGATGTCTAATTACTTAGTTTTTTTGATAATTTCTGAAGAATTTTTTGGGGATTATATCTCTTTGAGTGATAGGGAGAGAGAACGGTTTCTTGAGTGCTTGATTTTCGAAGTTATATTCTTTAATTTTTGGGGAAAATGCAGTAAATTCATGTTTTGCTTAAAAAAACAAAAAAACAAAAAAAACGGAAACATACAGCCTTGTTCAAGTGTTACTGGTTTCTTGGAATGACATTTGAACATTCCAGTTTTGGAGAAATTGAAATACCTTTTGGCGTACCTTGTTTCTCTATCACAAATCCATTTCTTCATTTCAGATACATTATGAATTTTTGTTACTTCATTGCGTAAAATTTGTTGATCTTTGCATGCTTCCAAGCAACGTCATAAATTTTCTATTATCAAACATAATATTCATATTCCCCTGCTTATCTCGACCATTACGATTATACAATTATGTTTACTCTTGCTTTCTCATTAACCATGTTTTTATGGATTGTATTATGTTGGATTCATTTTGATATCTCATTTGTCTTATTATGTTCTTGAAGCATGGAGCTGATGTTAATGCATTTGATAATACTCAACAAACAGCACTGCACTGGGCTGCAGTTCGAGGTTTTACCGAAGTAGCTGATATACTCTTGCAACATGGGGCACGCGTTGAGGCTGCTGATGCCAATGGATATCGTGTGAGTAATGAGTTGACTAAGCTGAAATTGATTGTTGAAACCTTTGGATGGAATTTTGGAATGGGTTTGATTCCTTTTGTTTTCTTTATTTACTTTTATGGCTTTGACTGTTGTTACTGTAAAAAACCTTTTAAGCACGTGGGAAGTTGAATACTGTTGTAGTTTGATAGTTTAAGAAAGGTAGAGTATTGCCTTTGGCCTTTATGTCTAAATGAATGACTACTCAATTTCAGGAGGGTGATTGAAGATTTGGTGTTTGTCCTTATATAGATTATCTTAACTGTCCATAGAAAAGGGATATAGATCATTAAGATTTAACAAGAAGAAAAAGGGTGGGATGTATATGACACACGAGAAGGTGTCCTTAATAGGTTCTGAATACTCTATATAGTTTAAAATGTGTAAGCTCATTTATGCTTTAAATATGTTTTAAATTGTGTGTATGCTTTGCTTACACATAATTCCACTAAAACAAGTCAATTCCAATTTGGTTTGGCGTTCAGGCAAACTAGCTAGTTCAGCCAATGTGCCTAATTGAAGCATTCTTTGTCTGCAATCACTTATGCTGTGTGAATTTTCTCCCAATTTTTTTCTCTTTCTTATTTTGTTTTTCTACAATTGGCTTTTCACATTTTCTGGGGCAGAATCTTTTGGAGCCAGTTATTTTCTCTTACTTGAAACAAAACATTAGTTTGTCAGGTGAAAAAGTATGCCATAACCCTCAGTTCTTTTGAGCTAATTTTGCTGTAGATCCCACATATAACACTGACATTGAGGCTTACAATGTTCTTTATTGTATTTTTAAAATAACTTAAATGCTAACAAATATATTCATCTCTGTATGCTACTATACTATTCTACTTGTATCTTTCCTGTATTTGTGTCTCAACCGTCCATGGATCAGGCAACACTTTTTCGGTGTTTGCATAACTTTTTCTGCTTGTTCATCTTTTATTGTTTTTGATGGAAACTTGCAGATTTTGTTATGCACAGAAACATTCTACAACATCCTATATTTTGCCTAGAATTTGAGAACTGACCTCAATTACTTGCTTCATAAAAACTTCTCTCCACCCATATATTCCTGGCCTGGCAATACTGGTAAAAGTATCATAGGAACTCTTGGTATATAAGATGCCAATCCAAGTTACTTGGTAACTGATCATTGGATTATTAGATCGTTTGACTAACTATAGGCACTTTCAAGCATGATTGGGTAGGAAAAAACATTTTTAGTTCAATAATTTTGTTTAATGCGTCTGCTGTTACTGTATAGCAAGCCTCCCAACTTTGGGCTTCAAATTTTCTGTTCCATGTTAGGTTGATCTAGTTTTAGGACCTTAGTTTTACCTTCTTGATCTGCAACTTGCTCGATGCAATAGTTGGGATAGGAACCTTTCCTTTCATTTTGGACTTTCCTTTATTCTAGCAATTTTGGTGATGATAATTTGATGCTTAGACGGGTGGTTATGTTATATGACATTTTGTTTTGACATTTTCTTTTTCAGAGAATATGAAGCATGCTTCTCTTTCTGCAACTTATATTGCTTCATGTTGGCATAGGATTTGGTGATTGTATTTTTAGCACATGTATGTTAACCTGGTGAACTTCTCAAGAAAGTTGTCTGATGCCTTCATCCCTTTGCCTCAGGCTGTTCACGTTGCTGCTCAATATGGACAAACAGCTTTCTTGCATCACATCGTCACAAAATACAATGCAGAATTTGACAAACCTGATAATGATGGGAGGAGCCCACTGCATTGGTACGTCTATGGATATAATGTTTTGAATCAAGCAAAGCTACAATTGTTTTGATGTGACAAGCATGTCCTGTATCATCTTGCAGCATATATTAGTTTTGAAGTCCAGTGTAACTTTTATTTTTTTTTATTGCTGTGCAATTTGGTTCAAGTGGAAGGCCCAAAAGGATATAGATAGAAGTAGTGAAAAAAAGATGTGGTGACTTTTGGTCTTACTGAGGGTGTGGCCCTTGATAAAGAAGAATAGAGGAACAAGATTCATGTAGCCGACCCCAAATCATTGGGATAAAGCTTCGATGGTGATGATGACTTGTCCAAAAATATATTTTGTTTTTCCTATTTTAGTTAGTGACTCTACAAATGAAGGTAAACACAAAAAGTGCATGAATACTCTAATGGCTGTAAATAACCCTTAGGAAACTATGTAACATGAAGTTCTCTTTCCCCAATAGTTGCATTATATCCTTCTCCCTCACAGAAGACTGGATAAAATTAAGAATATCATGAACAGAAGATACATCACAATAATGTCCCCCATCCATGTGTTGCCTAACAACCTCATCAAGGCATCTACAATACTTGTTTTTTGGCCCTATTGGGAACTTCAATTTTCCTTTGGCTCTTAAAGCATCTTAGAACCTATCTATTCTCATTTAAATCAATTGAACAACCATGTATGAGGTAGATTCCCTATGGAGCATCCATCGAAATTAAGCTTTAAGGACCTACCTTTTGGTTTTCACTCAATTGAGTTCTAATTGCAGGCTGAAAATCAAATTATTTCCAAGTATCAACATACATTGTTTCCTTTCTTGACATATTCCATTACATTCTTATGGTCTGTCCCATTTACCACATCTCTTTGCTTTAAATTTGACAGCTATTGAAACTGTTTTCCTTCCTCTCCTTCCTTACTCTCCATGTACTTGCTAGACTAAATGTTCCCCAAATGGGTGGTTCTGTTTTGTTAGCATTCCCCAAACGGATGGTTCTGTTTTGGTACCATCTTGTACTGCTCCATTCCTGCATCTGGCACAACAAATACGTGGGAACCAATTTAACAATACTTTGTCATACTCTGCCTCTAACTCACAACTAACGTAATCAATCTATGCCCCTGGCTTCCCTACACAGAAAACATGTATTTGTCAAAGACATCCCTTCTGTTGAAGACTATCGATGTTGACTTTTCTACCGTTGCAATCTGATGGTTAAAAAAGAACAGTCCTCACCTCGCGTTTCCACATAACACCACATATATTTATTGCACAGATAACACATGAAGCTATCAAATATAGAACACTTGGAAGTATTCGACCATCGCGCAATCTTGTCTCACTTCATTCGTATCATCTCCCCTTGAATAATATCCAGAATTCCAGCTGTGAATTTTTCCTCTTTCAGGAGCTCTTCTTTTTTTTTTTTATAATGTTTAACCTTTAATATATAAGAAAGAATAGTACAAGAGACCTTGGCGATCCACAAGAGAGGATGCTCAAGGGAGAGACAAATCAGAAAAGCAGAATCAAAATCTTCTTTTAGGAGGTTACAATGAGGCACAACAACCTAGGAAAACAGGTTGATCCACAAAATGAATCCAAAAATCCCAAAAAACCAAAAATCTTCTGGTTGCTAGCCATCTCTGCTGCTTCTTTTGCTAGGAAATCAGCTTCCTGGTTTTCTTCCCTCCACGTATGCATCCACACGACGGACATTTTCCTGCAAAGGTTGTCAATCTTGTCAAACAAGTGTGTCAAGGACCAAGGAAGAGGGGAGGAAGAAAGACTCTGAGCCCAAGAGATGGTATTCTTGGAGTCTCCCTCCACTACAAGTGAATACAGTTGGAGGGGTTGGATGAGTGTAAGGCCTTCCAAGAGTGCTAATACTTCAGCCTCCATGGAGTTGTTATGGCCGATATGTTTGGAGACAGTTGCCACAGTAGTACCGAGATGGTCTCTGAGGATGGCTCCTTTACCTGACGGGCCGGGATTACCAAGGGAACAGCCGTCGAAATTAAGCTTAAACTGGCTCAGGGCTGAAGGTTTCCATCGTGAGGCCCTCGGTAGACGCGAGCAATGGAATTGAAGAATAGTACCACAATCTTGGCTGAAAGCCGAAGCGGAGACTCCTTTGAAACATTGGTGGTTGGTCGCCTAAAAGATAACCATGGACTTGAGCTTGTTAAAAACTTTGTGCCACAGTAAAAATCCACCCCCCCCCCCCAGAAAATTCTATTGTTGCACTTGATCCAAAGAGCCCATATGGCAGCAGCGACCGTTGATTTCCAAAGAATGATTTTTGCCTTGTGCCAAGAATACGGTTGAATGGAAGAAAGAATCGTTGTCACCGCTTCTGGTAACACCCACTGCACCTTGAATAGTTTGAGAATTGCCCCCCAGATATTGAAAGCAAAAGGGCAGTGCAGTAGGAGGTGGTCGTTAGTCTCGTATGCTTCAAACCACATGACACATCGGTTAGGAATCAGATTCCTCTTCTTTGCAATCTGTGAGTACTCTCTGGGAGAAGATCTTGATTTTTTTTTTGGGGCGGGGGGGGGGGGGGTGCAAAGGATGCCCAGGCCTGAGCAGCCACAATAGCAGGAGCTAAAGGGAAGGTTGGAGGAAGAGATAAACTACGAAAGAATGAGGAAACTGAGAGGGTCTCTGTTGGTGACGGAGACCAAATAAAACGATCATGACTGGAGTGGCGTAAGAAACAAGCTTAGAGTTTTGTCGCTAAGGTGGCAAAATTTTCAATTTCTAGGTCAGTAAGAACCCTTCTGAAAATTGGATTCCAAGATCGGTTGGGCCCAGCTGAGAGCATTTCTTGGGGCTCTTCTTAAAACCATGGCCCAAATATTACCTACCCATTCACCCTTCCTCAAATTAATCTTTGACCTTTCTATTCTTATCCTTAGCCACATTTGCAACTCTAGGGGACATTGCTTTCAATGGAGTGTTGCTGCCTTTTATTGTAAAGGTGAGCTAGGATTCAATCTTTGGACTTTTGATGAGACTCACATGCCTTAACAACCAAGCTAGGAGGTTGATTACTCGAGTTCCAATTTTTACAACCCCTTTGTCCTTCTAGAATGACACATCTTTGCAATTCGTACTACCATAGTGTATCAATCTAATCTCCCTCTCTATACCCAATATCTCTCCATGTTCAAGTTGGCTACTTGTCGATGTCAATTACATTTTCCACGTACTTAGCAAATTTGCATGCCCTTCAGGCTTTCACTGACCTCCTGAACCATTTTACTATCAATGCCTAACCCTTTTTGATTACCTAATACCCAAATCAGATTCTTTGCTATATAGGCCTCTTTTTAGTTTAGTGGGTGGATTCCTTCATCATGATGCTTGCCACTCCAATGCCGTGCTGCTGCAGTTCCCAAATGTCCTGAACTCCCAAGCATGCATTTATAGAAAGACTTACTATGCATCAGATAAGATAGGCCTTGAGTATGGTGATTCTCCCCACCCAAAATACTTCACTTTTCCTTTCCACCTTGAGAGCCTACTTTAGTGTTATTTGGAATTGGGTCACTTAGCTCTCTGGGAACACCCATATAGGAAGTCCCTAATAAGTATTTTCCATTCTTTTCTTAGCTGCCCTGGCACCACTTTATACTGTATATCACTGCAACATTGGTATTCTTTGCTTTCCTCAATTTGCATTCTTCCTTGAAACCTCTTGAAAACATCTCATTGCATCCTTCATTTGAAAGCCTGGCAGATTGACGAATTCTCAAGAACAGTAACTATCATCATGAAATAACGATGTTGGATCTTCACAGATCATCTTAAAAAGTTATTTTGAAGTAGCTTGTGGACGATTTGCATTCTGTTGGGTTGGAGGCTTTTAAAGGTAGAGGTCAAGGGGAAAATGTTGTAGTGCTTTGTGAAGTTTAGGAATAAATGAAGATTGAAGTCTTTCAGAAACTTAATTGGGTATTAATTATGCTTTTCTTAATGTGATTTTGGAAAGGTCCCCAAGCCAACTGTTCCGTTTCTGAACTTTTGTTTTGTGCCCCTTCTGATTTTCCTTCCCATATTGAAGTTCCCTCTAGAGGAAGCACCTACAATACTCCTGATTTCACTTAAAATCCTTCGCTTTCTGAAATCTAGGAAACCTTCATGAAGAAAATGCCCTGCCAATGTTCTAAAAATCCGTCCCCTGGCGCCTAGGCGCCCAAGACACCTCTAACCGCACACCTAGACCTGGTGCCCCATTTAGGCGGTTGTACCTAGGCGGGCACCGAGGCACGTGGGCCTTTATTCGATTTCGAAAGATGCCCAAAAGTGCAAAAGGGGTAATTTTGACTCCCAAAAAAGGTTAAATAGGTTATTGGGGTTATTTTCAACCCCAAAGTTAAAAGAGCACTTCCATAAGCCATTAATCTCTTAGTTATACCTATTTCCTAGAATCAAAAGTATTTTTTGTGGTTTGAAGTAGCTTCCTAAACTTTTCTGTTCTCATTGAAATTATTTTATGTTGAAGACTTGGAGAGTTGGAGTCCATGTTATTATGGAATAGGGAGAGTTGGAGACTATTACTAATACATAGCCTATTAGACTTCTAAACTTTTATAAATTTTGTATGGTTTGAGTTTTGAAATTTTGAACAAGTCTATTCTCAACGCGCGATATGTCATATGTTTGTATATAAAAAGTATGTTACAATATTTTCAGATACAATAAATTACAAAATTGAGACATATATGTATATATGTGCGTTTGGACAACACATATATATATTTTTAAAGAATTTGTACAACAGGGCGCTGGGCCGGCTGCCTAGGGGCTGCCTAGCGTTTTCTGAAACCTTGTGCCCAGCCTTTATACATCTTAAACTTTGCTGCAATATATAGGTTATAACAATCCATAACCCAATTCCAGAAGGCCCACAATTGGTGATTTAAGTTATATGGACCCTATTTATTTCCTGGCTAAGATAGATTCCTAGGAACCCTGAATCCAAGCAGAAAAGACATACTTCAAATATTCTATCAAAACTGTGGTGCAAAAATGTTTCTATTAGCAACATTGTACATAATTTTTCACATTTTACTTGATTGGTTAGTGGTTTCTCACATAAAACATGCTCAATGTGGGACGTATTGTCATTTCTTCAGTTTCATCCTTCAATCTGCGGTATATGTTTTTTAATTTATGAACAAAGTGAAAGGAACTGTATACGCATTGTAGCTGGACAACATTTTGCTGTTCTAATCACCACATATTCCATTGGAACTCCATTTATCCTTGCTTTGAATGAGATGATGAATTGTGCTGCTTTTGTTGTTCAACCAATCATATACGTCCCCTTGCTATATGATTGGCTTGATGAGATTTTTGACATTTGCATTGGGAAAGTCTGCCATTGTAAATGATATATTGATGTATATTCACTTAGGTTCCATTACCGTCGCTGAACTTCTACAGATTTTTAATCAGGGCTGCATATAAGGGCTTTGCAGATACCATCAGGTTACTTCTGTTTATGGATGCTTCCCAAGGAAGACAAGATAAGGAAGGTGAAGCCATCAGGCATTTTCACTATTCACCCCTACAAAACTTTCTATTACCGTGCTGTAATTAGTTGTGCAGTTATAGTTTCATTTTGAAATATCTGGCTTGACACTGCTGAACAGATACTTGGAAAGGTACCACAGATAGCATCTGGAGGTTCCTAATTAAGTTCTAATAAATTGGTTGGTCCCTTTATGACAAGACACCATATATTGGAATTTAATCATTTATGGTTTCTATATTTCAGGGTGTACACCTTTGCACTGGGCTGCAATAAGAGGCCATGTAGAGGCATGTACAGTTCTCGCACATGCAGGCACAAAGCATGAACTTCTGTTGAAAGACAAAGCTGGGTTGACCCCCACACAACTGGCTTCTGATAAAGGTCATCGGCATGTTGCTGTTTCCCTTGTACGTAATTTAAAGTTGATACTTATAAATTGTTATTTTGTTTTCTAAGTTCCTAACTAGCACAAATGTGTGTAGAGTCTATCATGATGAATATGTTTGAAACATTTGGTATGTGCCACTGTTTCAAAAAACAGCCCACCCAGCACCTAGGTTGGCCGCCTGGCACCCAAGAAGTCATAGGCCACATGGCCTAGGCGTGGGCGGAAGTTTGTGGGGCATGCCCAGGCAGACGCCCAGCTCCAAGTCATGGGCGGGCTCTCAAGAACTTACTTAAAAATGGCAGAAAGATGCTTTTTTCTTGGGGGCCATTTTGGGTCATTCTGAGCCTTGAAAAGGGTTGTTCTCATATAGTTGCTGGAACCTTGTAGGAAAGGTCACCAACCCACTCCGGAACCTCAATACCATGATTCCAGCTTAGGATCTTGGATGGAACGTGGATCCCTATATTGTGATCCTTGTTCCAAGCTGATTTGAACCGCGGTTCTTGAGTTTATGATATGTTTTTCTCTATTTGGCAATAAGTCATACGTACTGATTTAGTTTTGTACCCAATGGTACTGCGAACCCATGCATGACTCACAATCCCTTAAAATTTACTTTTGTGATCCTGTTGTCATGGAATTGCGCTCCCATGTGACAAGGATCGTGCTCCCTTGATATAGGATCTTATGGATGATGATCCTAATCACAAGGAACTTCCAGCAATCTACGGTTCTGTGGACCCGATCTAGCTCCAGCTCTTGGGAATGCACCCGCACCCCATAACTATGGGTATTATAACCCAGAAAGTTAAAAAACTAATTATAAAAATAAACTCTTCCTATTTCCTAGAAACACTCAAAATTGATCGATTTTGCGGTTTTTTTTAAATGAGAAATTTTTGTTAATAGATTCATCTGAAACCTTACCATATCTTATTCCAATCAATTTTAGGGTTCAAATGAGGTTCTTAGAAGATTTTGGGGTGATTTTGAGCATGTTAGATGACGTAAACATTGAAGAATGGCTTCATTAGGATCGAAGCGGTGCTTATAAAAAATATCCAAAACATTGAATAATTAAATATCACCTCTTTTTTGTCATTTGTGTTGCATGTTTTGTAGAACTTCATTTTATATTGGTCATTTGGTCTTATTGGAGACCTCGAGTTTATGAGTATGATTGTATGAAGTACGGACTATAGGTGGTGTATGATCACTAGTACACTATGTGCTTGTGTTTTTCTTTTCGCTATTTTAGCTATTTAAGGAAGCAAAATTTTCGGTGATTTGAACATGTTTCAACATATATTTGTATAAAAAAGTTAGAATACATATCAATGCATAAATATACATTGTAACACATATATAGCTATATATGTGCGTTTGGACAGCACATATATGCGTATATGTGTATATCTCACACCTTTGTGCACCTGAGGTTCTGGGCAGCCGCTTAGGTGTTGGGTGCCACCCCCTTGGCGCCTAGGGGCCACCCAACGTTTTTTAAAGCTTGTTACATGCTACTATTGGTTTTCTTTTTCCTTTTTTTCTTTTGTTAAACAACTCTGTGTCAATGGTGTGAACTTGGGAATTTTTTGTAAATTATGAAGGCCCAGAAATGTTTGTGGGCTTTATGTACAAATTTGATTACAAAATTTATGATATGGCCATAGGTTGTAAAAAATTGTCAGGATACTAGATCTCCCACCAGCTCCTCAAATTGCAGTCCTCCCTCTACTTGTTCACCTCCTCCATCTACCTGATGTTTCTCACCTTGTTCTTCTTCCTCATTGCTCATGGGGCCCATCTCTTTTTCTAATGCTCTCTTATTACGGAGTGGCTCCTCACTTCTATCAACCACTCCTTGGTTTGACCCTTCATAAATATACGATCCAAGTTGATTGGGTTATATTCCACAACTTCTCTTCTCAACTGCCACTTTTGAAGTTTCAAATTATATTTGATTTAGACCAGCTTTTGAAGCTTGGTAGTAGTCAACTTATTCCTCCTTGGGGTATGCCATCAATTAGAATGTACTCCAGTTTGGCTCACACCATAAAGCAGAATGGAATAATGGATTTTACTCAACACCTTGGTCACTTTACTTTGTACGTAGGATGCTTTAGTATCATTTAATTCCCATGGCATTAAAACTCATAAGAAGGTGAAAGAACTCATAAGAAAGGTCCCCAGTGGCACTAAAATTAAAAAAATAAGAAATAATTCATAATCAAAGGACTTGAGAGTTAACTAGAATCTAGCTGATTGCGAGATTTCCTAGCAAGGTTAGTTGCAAATTTCCCTTGTACATCTGATTTTAAACCAAATTTGGAAAATATGTTTGTGTGAGAGATTTGAGAAAATAGTGCAATTTGATTTGGCAAAGGGAATTTATCATCTGCAAGGAAAGTATTCAGGTGCTGGTAATTGATTTCTAACCTAAGTTTTCCTTGAATTTGTTCTGCTCTTTTATTTACATAAAAAGCTTCACAAGCCCAAGGAGAATTGGTTGGCTCAATTAACTGTTCCTTTATCAAATCTTGTATTCCTAGCTTAGCTTGTTCCAAAAGATCTGGATTTGAACCTCTGTGCGAAGCCTTTGTGGGATTTATATCCTCATTTTTCTTAGAAGGTAATTTAACATAAAAATTCTGGTTTCTCCAAAGTGGGTTGGTACATTTTTTGAGAAACTCTGAGTGGGAATTGGCACAGCAGTCTGACACAATTTTTTGTCGAATGGTTTCCAGAGAGTGGGATTGATCTATACAGGCTATCCAGGGTAAGGTTAGGTTCTTATAATGTAATCCTTTGGAAGTCCACTGGAGTTTTACTTGATGCAAGACGTCAAATCCAAGTAAAAGGTCTTTATTGGGTAAATAGGATCTTAAGAGTTTATGTTGGATGACTAGTTTTAGAAAAAGTTTTATCAAGATGGGTTTGCTAATCTGGTTTATGATAACTTTCTCTCCATTAGCAGCTCGAAAAGTTTGGTTACATGTTTCCCAAAACTGTTTTGGTAGTAAATCAGGTTTTAAGATGCTAGCTGATGCTCCTGTATCAAAAAATGCTGGTATGGTCAAAGGTTTGGAATAGTATTCTTGTAATATTTGGACCAGGGCAATTGGGGTAGGCTGGAAGGGTAAACTGTTTATGTCTGCGATATCTTCCTGTGGGGACAATATCTCTGAGACCTGTGTGTTGCTTATCTCATTTACCTTATTGTCTTCAGAATATGCAATAGATAACAATGTATCTGGACACTGATCATCATCAAGAGAAAACACAGATTCTAAATCATCATCAATTTCTTTATCTAAAACCTGTGACAATAAGTGCATTATCTTTTTTTTCTTTTTCTGATTAGGGCCGTCTTTTGGAAAATGCCCTTTCTTTCCACAGACATAACATCTATCTCCTTTCTTGTGCCTGGAACCTCGAAATCTTGACCTTCTAAGATATTTGAACCTTTTGAATTTCTTTTTTCTTCTTTTTTGTTCAAACCTTTTTTTGCCTTTCGAAGTAGTTGGACACGCACACTGTTTTTCTGAATCACATTTAATCTTGAGATATGGTTTATCACAAGATTTTCCCAATAAATACTTATTTTTTTCCATTTGTTTCACAAATTCGACTTGATTGCACAGTCTTTCCAAAGCATGGAGGACAAATTGATATAATTCACCAAAACTGGTATTTTGAATAGTAAGTCCTTGGTTTTCCATTGTTTTTGTGGCTTCTTTGCCAAGAGTAGGAGGGTATGGATTCAAGATAAAATTGTTTTAAATTTATATCATCAATTCCTCCTATCTTATGATATCTTTTATTCATCTCTGAATAATGTTTTGCAAGATCTTGTCTCTTGAAAGAACAACATTTGAGCTGAAAAAATTCTTCTCTTGCCGCAATTTGTTCATGTTTCACCGGGCCTAAGAATTCAGAGACTAAATAATTAAGAAATTCAACAATGGACTAACTATTCTTTAACTGTGTTTGCCTGTATTCTCCAAGACTTATATACCAATAAAAAAGGCGTCCTCTTAGCCTAACAATAACTTTAAAAATTGTACTGGCTATTGTATTTGTTGGATTAAGCATTTCTAAATGCATCCATCCTTGAATCTCTCTGAATCTGTCATTCCATCGTGATGGTGGAATGTCATCAATTGTAAAGCCTTTAGATGAATCACCATAGGTAGGGATAGTTTGGGCTTCTTGATGGTCAGGAGGTCTGAGATCTTCTTCCATAACTGGGTCAGGTTCATGAGGAGGTTCTGGGGGGTTCATCATCATATTAGAGGTTCTGAATCTATGGAAGAAGAAGAAATATCTTCAATAAATGTTTCAGATGAATCAGACATAGCATCTGAAGATTGAGTTTCAGATTGAAGATTAACTTCAGGCTGTTTTGTCCAATTTTTGAGACATGAACTCATATTATTCAAGGGTTTAGAGGGGATATGTATTTGGGTAGGAACAGAAGAGGCTACAACATCTGATTCAGTATCAGATTTTTCAAACATTTGGGTTTCATATTTTGGTAATTGGGGATCAGTAGGAGGTTGAACTGTTATTGGTGGGGAAGTAGTTGGGGGTTTGGGAACTGGATTTTGGGATGAACTGGGTATTGATACATTTGGTTTTTTTCTTAATTGAGGAAAGAACATTTTTTTAGGAAAACGTCTTTCTTCTTCAAAAGAACTTAATGCCCTAAAACCAAAATGTCTGGGAGGAATTAAACCAGTAGGCGGGTAAAGGGTTCTTGTGGGTGGAAAGGGATCAGGACTTCTTAAAGTAGGGTAAGTTTGGGTATATGGATTTGCTAACAAGGGTTGGAATTGGGACTGGTATTGCTGCTGAGGGTATTGGGATTTCATCCAAAGATCTCTTTCAAGGCTTTGCAACTGTTTTTCCAAAAAAGCTTTTTCTTTTCCTTTCTGGCTCAACAAATAAGACTGTTCATGAATATCTTTCACAGTATACAAATTTGCATCAATTCTTCATGCAACAATTGAATTTTCT